TGTCTGTCTGGTGAGCACACGCACCCTATAGCGAAAACCTCTTAAAAAAAAAAAAAAAAAAGCATGGGACCAGCAACTGGCATAATGGCTATGTCGCTGGACTCCCATGTAGTCGACCACAGTTCAAGTCCCAGGCCTGGCGGCTTAAACTCACACCCGGCGTGTGTGCGTGCGTGCCCAAGATCTTGAGAGGAGAATGGATGAGAAGGGATTGCAGCATGGCCATCCCCCTTGGGAGGTGATTTCTCACTTTCTGTCTCTCTGTCTCTCTCTGTCTGGTGAGCACACTTGCCCTACAGGGGGGAAAAAAAAAAAAAAACTCCAAGAAAAAAAAATTCAAAAGAAGACTAGATCATGCAGAAGATTGAATCTCAGATGTAGAAAATAGAACCTCTGACCTAGAAAAATTCACCAGAAAGACAGGAAATAACCCAAAATATGAGAATAGCATACAAGTAATACTAGATACCATTAATCACCCAAACATCTAGATCATTGGTATCCCAGAATGTGAAGAGACTAATAAGTGTATTGATAATTTATTCTGTGAAATCCCAGAAGAAAACTTTGCAGACTTAGAGAGGCACTCAAACATCCAGACCCAAGAAATACAAAGGACCCCACATAGAATTTACCCAACAAGATCTTCCCCGAGGCACATCACAATCAGATTGACCAAAACCACAGACAGAGACAAGATACTAAAACTGGCAAGAGACTCACGTCAAGTTAGTCAGTGTTGAATTTCAACCAAGAATACTATACACAGCAAGATTATCTTTCATATGGGAAAAAAAGATGAAAACATTCTCAGATAAACAAAACTTGAAAGAATTTACCGACACCAGACCAGTTCTCCAAGAAGTGCTGAAGAGAGTGCTATACCAGGAAAACTAAAGTCGGACACACAGAAATAAGAGTACAAGAAACAAGCAAGAGAATGGCCAGCCTGCTGGTAGGGACAAGACCAGTTGAATGTCAACTTCCAGAGTGTAAATAGAAAGATCAGACCCCAGTAAACTGCAAATTCAGTAGAAGAGAGATTAATTACATGAGACTGAACTAGTGAAACAGAATTTTTTTTTTTTTTTGGAGAGGTTTTTGCTATAGGATATGTGCATTCGCCAGACAGACGGAGAGAGACAGAAAGAGAGAAAGCAAGAAATCATCCCCCAGGGGGGATGGCCACGCCACAATCCCTTCTCCCCCATTCTCCTCTCGGGATCTTAGGCACGCACGCACACGCACCCAGCATGAGTTTAAGTCGCCAGGTCTGGGACGTGAACCATGGTCGACTACATGGGAATCCAGCGACATAGCCATTACGCTATGGTCCCCGAAACAGAATGTTTTTTACTTCAGACTAAAGCATTACTGATTTTCTTCGATGTTTTGGTTTCCATATTTAAGGATTTTTGTCTTCTCTTGAACTGTTGATAGGTTCATCTAGCTACTATTTGAACTGATTCCTAACCTTGTTTTAATTTTAAGCAAATTTTTCTTAAAATTTTATTTTGATCTATTAAAACAAACTTTTTTGAAATTAAAAATGCATTAAAAATACCTATCAATACCTATTTGATGACTGCAGTAAGCTATACAGCCCCAGCGAGGTGCTACTTTATCGTATGTTCACTTTACTCACAGGTTTACACCTAAAGTCAGACAGGCATTCACAAACTGGTATAGATAAGCTGTGGTTGCTAACGAAAGGCTTTAAATTCATTAAGGTCTTTAGTGAATAAAATGTGAAAAGAACGGTGTGGGAAACAACTGTGCATACCAGACAGTGTGGGAGAGGGGTCAGTTCGCAGAGGGTGAGAGGCAGGGAGTCAAGGCAATAAATAAAGCAAAATATGTAAGAAGCAAGAAGCAGAGAATTGTTTTGTTGGTGATAACGTGTATGGTAGTATGCTTGATTGAGCCAGTATACAGTGGGGACTGGCTGGAAAATCCCATTTTGTACGCTATATTGATGAACAGTGAACGACTGTAAATAAATAGATAAAATAAATTTTAAAAAGCAGCAGCAGAGTCATTTTAGGACAGCTTTCTGAAAAATACTCCGCGTACCAGCCCCTTACTGATGGGTGAACCCTAAGTTCTAAACTGTTATCTATGCCCAGTGTCCCACTGGAATTTTGTCTTTTCCTGATGACTTACCGAAGTTCTTTGTGTGTTCTATATTAATCTCACGCTGACTTGACCACTGAAAATATCTTGTCCCCTCTTTGAACTCTCTTGTTCTATATTGAATAAAATTTCCATTTTGACTAATGTTGAATCCATTGATGTCTCACCTTATTGTGTTTTGGGAGATTTAAGAAATCCCTAGCCTGGGACCAGCAGTTGGCGTAATGGCTATGTCGCTGGACTCTAGTTGACCGCAGTCCGGGTCCTGGACCCTGAGAGGAGGATGGAGGAGGAGGGCTGGTGTTCTGGGGACCCCCGTCCGTGTGGCTGGGCCGGGTTCTGGGCTTCCTGGGTGGGCATCAGCTGTGGGGAGCTGGGTGCTCTCACCGTCTCTGCTTACTCAGCCAGCTGCGCCAACGCAGACTCGCGGCCCAGGATCCATCTTGGCCGCTGGCTGTTTTCAGTCGGCCTTCCCCCTCCCTCCCGAGTGCCTCCTGCCCTTCTGCTGCAGGGCGCCAGCCGAGGTTCGCGTGTCCCTTCTCCCGGAGAGCAGGGCTGAAATGCGAGGCCTGGCCCTGGGCCGACTGCCGCCTGGGCATGGCTGTGGTGGTCAGGGCCAGCAAGGCCCCCTGCTGTGCACATCCGCCCCAGGCCCAGTGCCTAAGTAGGGTAGGCCTGGGTCTGCTCGGGGCCCGAGGCTGCGGTGCAAGTGCCCACACTGTGAGCTCTGAGCAGGCCCTGGCGGCCCCGCTGGTGGAGACAGGCGGGCGGGCCACGCCGGGGCTGGAGCGTGGCCTCTACAGCCGTGCTGCCCCTCAGCTTCTCAGCAGGTTGTGTGCCCCTTCCCAGACTGCTGTGCTCATGAATCTCCCCGGAAAACCATCCCCGCACCTTCGCCCTCAGGTGGCACCTGACGCCAGGCTGGGAGCCTTCCTCTCGGCCAGTCCTGCAGGCCCTGGCACCCCCTCCCCCCCGTCCCCGAGCCCCTGCCACACTCTCGCTGCACCCTCGGGCCACCATCCTCCGAGCGGTGCAGGCGTAAAGTGTGGAAGGCCAGGCGGTCCCTCAAGGATGCTGGCGGGACCTCAGTGCTCCAGGTGGCCAGTCCTTCAGGCTGTCCCGTTTCTCCTTGCCACTTCTAAGTAACATGCTGAGCTGCGGTCTCTTCAGTGGCCCACCCTAGGTACTGACTGTCCCCTGACCCTTACCATGGGAGGTGACGGGCCTCTTACCGCTTTCCCCTGGCCCGCCGCCTCGTAACTCATGGTTAGACGGACAGTTCTGTGGCCATTGTTAGTGTGTGACCGTCCTTCACAGCTGCACAGTGCGGTCCTCTGCATTACAGTTTTCTGACGAATTATCTCCCCTAAAACTACGTTTTACTTTTCCATGTGTTGGGTTTTTCCTGCTGTCTCTCCTACGTCACCCCCAATCTCCAGAAACGCACCCTCTTGGCACCTCGAATGCACAGGAGGGGTCCTAGTGCCTTCCTCTTGGGCAGCCCTCGCAGGGTCCCCACCCTCCTGCTCCCAGGGAACATAATTCCTGTCCCCTGTTAGTAGCAGGGCCATTCCCTGTGACCCCCTCCTGTGGGGGCCTCGCAGTGGGGCCTTCTTGGTCTCCCGTCCTCTGAATCCTGGAGGGAGCCGGCTCACAGCGGCATGGGCTGCCGGAGTCCGGGCCAGGAGACGAGACCGTTCCCCTGCGTGCTGAAAGAGCTGCCTTCTGGTGTGTGTCTGCGGACAGGTCTGGCGTCTCCTGGATCTCTGGTCCTCTGGGGGACCTCTCTTTGTAGGAGCTGCTTATTGGCTCTGAAATGGTCAGTGATGGGGTGGTGGGTCTTTAGTTCCAGCTACTTGCTGGGGCCTCAAGCCAGAAACTTGAGTCCTTTGCTTTTGGAAATGTTGGGGAATATCTGCTTTAAAACAGACTCCATTTTCTTTCTGGAATGCCTGTTTTCAGATGCTGTGCCTGGACTGGCCCCTCCGTTCTCACTCTCTCCCCCGCTTTCTCTGTTTCGGTGGGATTTCCGTGCCTTCTCCTCAGCCAGCTGTAGTGCCACCACAGCTCCAGTTCCCAGGCACCACCTGTGTGTGCCGAGGTCCCTCTGCCGGAACTCCCACTTGGTAGAAGTGAGGGCTTCCTAGGTCAGTGCTCTCACGCAGGTGCCACTGCGCAGGGCCTGGGGGTGGTGGGTGTCCACACGCAGGTTTCTACCAGCATTGTCCCCGAGAGTGTTGCCGGTACCTTTTCAGAGTGAGTTATTCTCGCTGCAACAGAGTCCTCGCTTGGTCCCGAGAAACGTGGTAGTACTCATACTGTCAGGCTCAAAAGTTACCCAGCCGTCACGGGCATCAGAAGGGCTGTTCGTGAGGGGTGCATGGTTGGTGCAAAGCTCGCTGCTGGTGAAAGCGGGGTAACTGGAGGAAGGTGTGCTGCCCACTGAGCGCTCAATTAGGAGAGAAAGTTGAGGGCCTTCGGTGGCATATGTGGGAATGAGTATTCCCTCAGTTTTCTTTAAAGTTGGATACCAATCCTGCTTGTATGATTGTTATGAAGACTAAGTAAGACCTGAAATGCTAAATGAAGACACTGAGACCAGCAGATGGAGTAATGGTTACATTGCTGGACTCACACAGTCGACTGCATTTCAAGTCCCAGACCCGGCGGCTTAAAACACGCTGGGCACGTTTGCGTGCACGCCCCAAACCCTGAGAGGAGAGTGGAGAAGGAAGTGCAGGACGGCTATCCCCGGGGCGGGGGGGATTTCTTGTTTTCTGTTTCTCTCTGGTGAGTGCACACACCCTATAGCAAAAAAAAAGAAAAGAAAAACCAACTTGACAAAAAAGAAAACAGACCCCATTACCACTGGTCTAAGCACACGTAGAAAACCGTATTCTAGAGACGGAGCGCCATGCGGGGGTGGGGTGCACAGCATCGCTCTGCTGTTTGGGGCAGATAATGCTGTTAAGTGGCGAGCCCGCACGCTCAGGCCCACACTGACTCGTGCTCCTCGTCTCGTCTTAGCACAGAGGCTGGGCCTCTTCGAGCCTCCACCTGCGCCCCTGTCATCAGACGAGTGGGAGAAAGTGAAGCAGAGGTCCGTCCTGCAGGGGGACTCCACGCAGCCGTGCCCGATATGCAGAGAAGACTTCGCACTTCACCCGCAGGTCCCTGGAGGACAAGCCTGAGCGGCCTGTCCCAGTGCCACCCCTGCAGCGTCAGAGACTTGGGTGTTCTCTGTCCCTAGTTTAAGTGTGTGTGTGAAGAGAGCAGCAGCCTCACTAAGCAGGTGTCTGTGTGCCAGTGAGTGTGCACCGCCCTGGCCGTGCAGCTAGGACGCCCTCCTAACAGGTGGGGGCGCACGGGAGGCATCTGCAGAGAGGGTGGCTGTCAGAGGACCGTCTAACTCCTCTTGTGCGTTGAGCCGTGACACAAATGCTTACATAGCTACAAAGAACTTGTGGGAGCATCTTTAAAAGTGGTGAGAGCGTTTAGTCTTTATTCATGAGACTTGACGTAGTAAACTACGTAGAATCCTGGACTTACGGATGACAAATCCATCTACCGCATAGGTTTATTTCTGTACACGTCTCATGTAACCAAAGTGTCATCTCCAGGAAGTTGGATACATTGGTGTGCCCCTTCCCTCCCCCCAGGAGGTGCATGCTCTCCAGAGGGAGACGGGGGGGGGGCACCCTCCAGGCAGTGCTCACCTGCACCCCCCCCTACCTCTCCATCCTGGTGGGATTTGGGGCACACATGCCTGGCTGTCACCCACCAGGGCGTGGAGCCAGTCTGTTCAGAGTTTGCTGAACTGCCGGAACGTACATGTGCTCAACAGATGGAGGGTGGGAAGGCA